ATCCTCTCCGGTGAAGTTTCTATCGACGCAATGCTAACAGCTTCTCGAGTAAACAAATAAATTAATCCTAATAATACCAACCGAACAAAAAGACATTAAAACCACAAAATGAAAAAGGCAGAAGTTTCTTCGAGCGAAGCGCCTTCAATCAACAGAAGTGATGCCGAAGGGCACATTCGTTTCTCGTAAGACTGACACTGAAAGAACTGCACACGCGCTCACATCGACCAAAGCATCGAGACGTACAAACAACAACATGAAAAAAAACGCAAGTTCGGACACAACGTGAAACAGCTCGGAAGTCCCGATTGCGGGTGCAGACGTTTCAGAGAGACAACTAGAACACATGTGTACGAAAAGCAGCGAGGCGGGTGGGGGTGGAGGGGGCCTTGTACGGGGGGACTCGGTCCTCGTAATTGTTGGCGGCGCGGACATTGGTTGCGACTCCTCTGACCGGATGTCTTTTTTCCCCCAAGATGCGCGCTATTAATCTCGCAGAGAGCCGCGTACTTTGAGAGCCATCTTCTATCTTTCTCCTGCTTGGCGTCCTCGCCATTGCTTCTGGCGGTGGTGAAAGAACCGGCATGGACCAGCGAGGGACCAGCGCAGCCGAGCCCGGCCTAATCTCTGAAATGGGCTTTAATTTGGGAGCCATTGTTTACGGCTGTTCGCCGTCCCTCCCCAGCAGAAGCCCTCCCGTCCGCTGTCTCCTCCCAGAACCGCTCCTCCGTTGGCTGTGTCCCCGATGTCGTCTGCTCCGATTTTGACGCCCCTTCGTCGTTCTCAACGCCTTGAGTCTTCAAACGACGTTATTATTTTTTTCCCCTCATACGCTTTCATGGCTTATTTTTTTTTTTTTTTATCTTTTTTTTAGAATGGCCATATTATGTCGAGATTCAATTTGTGAGGCGGTGTCATCCCGCTGCTTTCACGCATATTAATTATGAAGCATGTAACTCCAGGACTTTGACTGAAAGGTTTGACTCCTTCTAATTCGAAAACCGTATTTTTTTAAGCCTTCTTTTTTTTCTTCGCGATTTTTTGATGCTTGAGTGATTCTCGACATTGGTGGCTCTGTAACCCGAAACTTTCGCTTTTGAGCACGCATCTTCTCGACGTCCGTTCAGTGTTGATCGATTGCATCATATCACAAACCTACCGCTCCCAAACTGAATCTTACCGAGAGGACTAAATGATCGCGCGATAGAGAGCGTTGCAGAACATCAGCAGAGACACAATTGGTCAGTGCTAGTGACCAACACTTGACGGTAGCAAGCTTTTAGGGTCTCTCCACGGCCTGATAGCGACGCGGTCGCACGTTATTCCCCAGCGGGTTTTCAGGTCTGAGGGGAGACGATTTATAATCTTTACGTGTCACCCTTACCCTCGTATTTCCGCTCGCTTTCCTGTGCTCTAGTTTCGGCCTCTTTCACCCAAATCCTTGGCACGGAGCCCTCCTCTGCTCCGCCCTATGTTCAAGCACAGTTGACGCTACGAGCCTGCGGGACCAATCACACGGCGCCAAACATGCACCAAGATGGCATTTGTCGTGTTTCTCTTCATGTTCTACCATCGTTGAACCAATCATGTACAAGGAAGGCCCAGTGACTTCCGCTTTTGGCGCTGTTTGATTGGCCTCATCAGCGCGTAGCATCGGCTGCGTCCGTATTTAAGGTGAGACGAAGTATGCATGTATATCCTAACATCGAGAGAAAATCGGCTGAAAATATGGAGTGGGCTAAATTTCGGTGTACAATCAAAAACATTTTTTAAAAAATTGGTATTTTTAGGTCGTGTCCTTTCCAAGCTTGTTACGATGGCGAGGGGCAACGAAGGAAAGATGCGTGTACTTTGCAGTCAGCAACGTTCGCTTATATTCCGGCATAGCTAACTAGCCGCATTTACGCCCAGGCCATCATTGACCCCAACACTACTATTACTAGGAGTAAGCTATCTTTCGCTGTTAAACAAAAATATCCCAAATCAAGCCAAAAATAGGAGGTGGGCTATCTTTCGGGGGTGGGCCATCTTTCGGAGTTTTACGTATATATATATATATATATATATCAACAATGAATGAACCGGTGGGCTTTCACGTCGCCAGTAAAGCGCGTCGCACAATCCGCGCGGCAAACTTTAATCTCTTTCCACCTCGCTTTACTCATTCACGCGTGTCGAAAATTTCACCGGTGCGTTTGAAGGCTCCACTTGTCCGAATGATGCCGGAGAGGACGAGTTATAATGAAGGCAGCGTCGCCTTCCTAGACCGCAGAAACACTCGCAAAGTCTCCCCGAAACCAACATTCGCCGACCTGTCTTTTTCCGACCGAGAGATTAAGGGAAGCCAGTTGGGGCGACACGAGCGCGAGGTCCTGCATTCGCAACGCGTCACAAATGACTCGGGCAGAGAGGCGCCTTCCCTCGCAGCGGCGCGCGATACAAATTTGTAACGCCCGTGCTGAATTTTTCATTTCGCTTTCGCGCGTCGCCGCGAATTAGGTTGCTGTCAAAGAGCAGGGCCAGTCCGTGTTCCGCTCGAGTAGCGAGCGCGAAACTAGCGCAACAACGGAGGCAGGAAGGGTGCCCGGAATTAAGACGGACGTGGAAGTGGTCGAATGGGGGTTCGCGCGCGTGTGTGGCCAACGCTGATTGTTGTCGCCACCATTAGATGGTGCGCGCGCGGTTGTGGCCTTTGGCAAGGCTGGAACCACCATTCTCGAGTCTCCGGAGAACATCGCGAATGTTTTACACTCTTTTGTTTCTTAGGTTATGTCACGTAATTCGGTACGCGATGTCTTTTAAAAGTTTGGACTTAATTCCCCCTCTTTCGGAGAGGAGTTTTGTGTAACGAGTGTCTCAAATTTTTGAGTAGGCTGTGTTCTTCCAGGAGCGCTGGTAAAGTTGAAGTGACTTGTCGTCGATTAGAGCGACGTTACGAGCAGGACGACGAAGAAACTCGAAGAACTCGGGAAATTTCTCGCTCCTTTAACGAGCTTCGTCAAGTGCGCAGTACACCGTTCCTCGGCGACATTTACCCGTACACGGGAGTTTGTAAAGCTGGCAACTCATGAATCCGCGTGGCGCGAAGCTGTGAAACCGTTTCGGGTGCTTGTAGCGCACGCGGGTCCTGTAGCGCGCGTCCACTCAATGACCTTTGAAGGAAACTTCGCGCGCCGTTCTATGCTGGTTGACATCAGCGCCTGAATGTTAACGAGGAAGCGGTACGCAGCGCGCTTGAGGCGACTTTTATTGGAGGAACTTAACCTTGGTCTCTTCCAGAGATTGCGTCTGAAATAATGCATTGTAAAAGTTACGGCACGTGTTTTTTTTTTTTTATGCAATGAAACATTTGGGCTTTCGACGAGAATGACGACGGCTAGTTTAAAGGTGCACTATACAGAGCGCCGACTTTTTATTGCATGTAGCCTCTTAAAACAGACAGATGCGTAGGACTCATTCATCTGTACTCTCTCTTTCTCTCTTTCTAATACGCGTTGTCTCCTCGCCGATAACAAGCGCTATGGGTACACATTCCTCGGGTCTTCGGTGCAACACAGACACTTCCCTCTCGTGCTCTTCCTCGGCCTCATGGGCGCTGAAGACGACGGAAGCATGACCACTGTGGGTTGTATTTGAAAAGTACAGATGAATTGGAGCGATATACTTGGCTCTTCGCAGTGGCACTCCATCTCATAGAGTTCTGAGGCAGCACTAGCAATGACACTAGTTTAGGAGCTATAGTTCTAACCAATACTTCGCACGAACACACCTCCCGCGCATTTACAACGTGGCACCCACGCATCACGAGTGCTGTAGATTGCGTTGTTTCTCAGCTTGGTGAGAGGTGATTTTTCTGTTTGTATATATATGTACGCTCGCACGGTAATGTTTCTCGTACTTAGGTGTCATTTATTCGATCAATTTAGGTGTTTTTTTTTATGTTTGTCTCGCCTTCATATTCTGCAAGACATCTGTTGCGTCCCTCTGCTACTGTATGCCCGTCTTGGGGTAGCAGTATTGTGACAATAATGATTAGGTAAGTTATTAAGGCCGTACACGCAGCGTCCCCCGTTATGAGGGGCACGTTCGGAAATCCTGTATCTTTTACAGTGCCGCATGATTGATAATTGGGAAATTATAAGAAACGGCAAAACAAAGTTCTGATGCCCATTCGCTAACTCAATGTCCTTCATTTCAAAAAAAAAAAAAAAAGTTTACGTCTTTTTTGCGACGTGATAACGTTACGCATGACCGTTCCAGGGTGCATGTAGCTTCCACCGCACTGTCAGCTCGGGTGTGAACGGTGTACAGCTGGTGTCGAGTGTATGTTAGTTCACGAGGTGCTTCCGGTGTCTCCTAGGAAACTCTGTCGACAGGTCGTTCGACGACCTTTGGGTTGTCACAGACAGCACAAAGCTTTTTTCTGAGTGTTTGATGATAACGCTCATAATTATATGGTCATCATCGTCGGAATAATAATGCGGACCGCAAGTTCGTCTGCTTCTTTTGCGGGGATTGTGGTGACGTCTGAACGCCGAGCTCTGATTGGCTCTGAATGAAAGATAGTGGGTAGACCTCAAGGCAGCTTGCTTTGAGGTCTACCCACTGTCCTTCAACCAGAGCCAATCACAGCTCGGCGTCTTTCTGACGTCACCACAACTCTTGTGCAAGAAGCAGACGACTTGCTCCCCGCATAGTAACCAGACTACAGAAGGTCACCGAAGGACTGTCGGGGTTCAAGGAGACAATCGAATAACTCTTTTGATACAAAAAAAAAAAAAAAAAAAAAAAAAAATGGTGTTTTTTTCGGCATGGGCGAACGAGAAAACAAAATTAAAACGAGATATCTATGTACAATAAGCCAGGTAGCGGAAAGGGGACGAAACTATAGCTTAGGTATTCTCGCGGGAAACCCGACGTGAACCACTGTCCCCCTCTGGCGTCTCTGAGGTGTCCGGACGGTGCGTTCTACCAGCATGGCTGTCTGGTTTTCTTTGCAGCGCGCCGTGGCGGCTGAACAGGAATCTGTCCGGTTGCGAGACCAGCTCTCCGAAATGGATGCGCCGAGAGACGAGACAGCGCCGCCGCTTTCACGGACCTCGCTCGAGCAGCAGCTCGAGGCCAAGGACAGAGAGGTGAGGAGCACTTCCCGCCGCGCTCTTCCCGTCTAGAGAGCCTCGATTAGAGTGAAGAAGCAGCTCGAACCATGCGGTATCTCCTGCGTAGATTGGTAGCTCCTTCTCATGCGTGCCTTGCTGCGTGGCTAGAAGGGCATCGTGTACAGAGGTCAAGCAACGCTTGGCGAGCTTTGCAGGCGACCAACACTTTCGCCTCTTCCTCGCATTTTTTGCTGTAAACGAGGTTCACAAACCGAGTGACTCCGATGGAGAAGTTGGAAACACTTTCAACTCTAGGCACACCATTCCTTTCTCCAGTTCACGCGGCGCGATTCAAGGAATCGCGGACACCCAAAAATAAAAAAAAAAGTGATTACGCTACGATTTAGAGTGACGTCGCTTCAGCCATCTTCTTTGCGCGTAGCAAAAGTTGTGCCGGCGTCGAAGCGACGAATGCGTGGCGTTCGGTAATCGGTTATAGTTCGTTTCACTTTATGTGAGGGCGAATTCGGGGCTACAAGTACGAGCATTCTGCCCTGAACAGGGCTGGCGCTGCACGAGCGCGCCAGCTCGACAGGGACGCTGAAAGCCCGAAGCTCGCCTTTGTAGCTTCTGCGAAACGCTCGCATCGTCGTTGTCCTCTACATCGTCGCTCAGGAGGTGCGGAGAGTTGGCTTTCCCGCACGTTGAGTATTGTAGCGGTGAAGCGAAACGCGACGCAGCGCTTTCCGAATTCGCACTCGAGTGTTATTCCTCCTCGCGATTTGGGTTGGGTCCTTGGTTAGTTTTTTGAAGACGTTTTTTGTGTCGTCCCCCTTTTTTTCGTTCGTCGTCTCCGGTTCTTCATAAACGTCTAAATAGTTTTGCGGCGCGCCCTAAACAAAATAAAATCGTACTTGTTGTTATTTGTTTTTTTAATCTTCCTTACGTGCGAGCTTTAAGCGCATTTTCACCTCCTCCTTTCAGATATCTCAACTAGTCGAAGACATTAGGAAGCTGCAGTCGGCAGTAGACGCTTTGAAAGAGACAAGTGCCTCACAGGTCAGTGCAGCAACAGACCATTCGCCGAGAACTATCTTTGTAGCTCGTTGCACTTGAAACAACTTCCATCTAAAGGGTAAGTAGTAAGCATTAGACGTCTCTTTTCTTTTCCTCCTTGCAGATTGCTCAACTCGAAGAAATGCTCGCGGAAAAGTCAAGGATCATTCAAGACCTCGAAGACCGCTTGGACAGACAGAAAGATTACGAAGACGTCAAGCAGGAACTCAGGTTAGGGGTTTTATTCCATCGATTGTGGGTCGTGCAACGAAATAACACTCGGCGTAAACTATACTTGTCCGCGTACACCGACGCCGGCAATTAAAAAGAAGACACGTGGGCCGCAGCGTCAAACACCTGAAAAAGGGGACGTCAGCGGAACCGAGTCACAACTGAAGAAAGACTTGTTTCTTTATTTCTGTCGTCTTTCAGCGGGAAGAAGAGCTCGTAAGATACTAGCGCAGATTTCCTTCTCCCCCGAAAGTGTCTCGCGGAAAGTAATACGAGGCCGGAAAAGGAATGAGAGCTGCACGCTGTGTGGCGACGGCAGACAGAAGAGTTGCGTGCTGCTCGAGGGAAACGTGCCCGCGAGATCTCTATTAATGGCTGGCGCCTCCGTGACGGAAAAGGACGCCGTTTGACCCGCCCGAGCTTTTGACGCAAGAAGGAGCAAAAATGAAGCAAAAGCGTTTCGCGGAAGGGAAGAAAGGTGCCCTGCCTGTCACTCAGCCCTTTGACGAGACGCTGACGAGAGCGGAGGGAATTAATCACCGAGACCTGACATTTACGCGAAGAAAAGCCTGACCCGATAAGGTCGTTGATTCAACGTGGCTGGGCATATCATCACGTCGTATGCTTACCAAAAAGGTCGCATTATATATAGCTTCTCTTTTTCTCTCCCGTCGCTCTGTCCGCCATATGCGCGATCCGACACGGCCCGATTGGCGGCAGGCGCTGACGTGCGCACTCGGAAGCGCTCGGGCCCGAATGCGTCGTTTCTCGCCCAAAGGGTCAAAGACCGATCTTCGTAAACCAGGATTTGAAGCTAAAGGAGTGTATTGTTCTCGCGTGTCTTTGCGAGTAACCGGACCCCGCTTATCCCTCTCTGTCGCCGATCAAAGCTCAAAACTTCCGCTGTGCTGTCGTTACACGATCCTACGTGCAGCGAATCGCCTAAACCCGGGGTCACACTGCTTATACGTCATACGAGAGACAGTCTGCATACAGGCTCGAGCGCGAGCCACCGCGAGCCACCGGCTTCGAATGCCCCGTGGCAATGAGTTGGATGAGAAAACCTGGCACGCGGCATTCGAACCACGGATATTGCGGCGACTCGTGTTTGCAGACTCTCTTTTGTATGATTTGTGTTCAAACAGCTGCGTTTGACCGTAACAGTGCGTTTGCGGCCGCTTACGGGGAGAGTAAATGCCCTTGGTGCGTTCGTGTTTGTCTTACAGGCAGCAACAAGTGCACCAATGCACGAAGTGCGTGCGACCCTTGGAAGCGAATGACGGCGGAGCACTCGCTCGTGCACGCGTCCCGCGCCTTGGCACAGCGGAGGCTATCGGTACTCGTAAGAAACGTTAAAGGGGCACTGTCAGGGCACGTCGCAGCCAATGGGACTCTAGGTGCCGTTTCCCTCGGCCAATGGAAAAATGGGAATCCAGGTGCCGTTTTTTTTTGCGGTTACGGAAGCCGCCGGCTTCGTTCCATGGGACACTTATTGCTTTCGCATTAAACCTGTCTTTAGATATTTCGCAAAACGCACATACGCGTGAAGCAGTCATTCGTGGACTATGCTCGAGGCGTAAACGCAGATACTTGCGCCATCGTGCTTGCAGCGAACGCCGCGTCTTTTCTACGATGTACGGGCAGAGTGACTGCGGCTTTCGGAAGCGCTATTGAATGTAGTCTCCGCGGTAGCGAGACGCATTTCTAGTGGGGCGTATTCATGGTGGAGAAGTCGAGAAGGTCGTCTATCAATCGCGCTCATGGAGCGTAATTCGGTGTGGTTCAAACAGCAGCCCTTCGCCGCCACGCTACTACTTTGTCGTACTGTGCCAGTGTCATTACTGCATCGCCGTACTTTAGTGGTGCAGTATACACCGTTTGTTGGCACAACGTGTAGTTAGGGATAAAACGACAAGTCCGGTAGTATAGGACTCAGTAGTAGTGCTCCTTTTTTCTTTCTTTTTTTCGGGTTATAAGCGCGCAGAATATAACTTAGATGGAAAGAATAAACGTAAAACTCTTTCAAATGTCTACCACCGAAACGCAGATATGTACTTCGGAGGAGGCAAGATCCGCGTTAGTGTTATTGTCATCATTTTATATCTTCAAGCTATATGGGCACGCATGCTATCTGTATGATTCCTCAACAATTTCTATGTCCCCTCCCCCTGATCAATTCTCTCCTACGCACGCCTTTCACACAAACACACACAGCAATTGTCTTTCTCTTTTCCTTGACATGCTTGCTTTTCTTCTCTTTCTTTTCACTTGGTTCTATATTTGGATTATGTACATACCGCAATCATGTTTTGTTCTTTTTTATTTTTTTCCTTCCCTCAAAGTTTTTTTTTTCTTTATATATAATGGTGCCAACTTGATCGCTTAACCCTTTACTACCAAGGAGTCCCTTCGACAGTGTTCTTTGAAAACTTTGGGACCCCCGTCTTAATGAGTGTAATTAACTAACATCTTGTTTACAAATAAAAACACATTTTGGCTTGACTTGACTTGACTTGAACCACAACGATTCGAGGACGGGTCAAAATGACCATAAACGAGAAAGTACATACTATACTTCGTTTCAGCTTCGGTCCGAGCGCGGCCGATGTTATGCGCCGAAGGGCCAATCAAACAGCGAAAGAGGCACAACGTCATGGCGTGCTCTCTGCGGTTGATAGGACCAGCCAGTATTCGCTGTCTCTCTGCGCGTGCTCCTCCGCCGGCTAGTCTTATCAATCGCAGAGAGCACGCCATGACGCTGCGCTTTTTGCGGTGTTTGATTGGCTCTTCGGTTCATAACATCGGCCGCGATCGGACCGAAGCTGAAACGAAGTATAGACTAATGTAAAACATGTTAGCGAGACCACGGCGCATCCAATGAAACAAAGTATATAGTCCCTTACAAGGTTAGGACAGCATGGAGGAGCTTCAGTTGTCCCGCGCCCAGCGCGAGCTTCCTATGCGGAGAGGGAGTCGTCTGCTTCTTGGGCAGGAGTTGCGGTGACGTCAGAACGACGCCGATTTCTGATTGGCTTTGATTGGAAGGATAGTGGGTAGACCTCAATGCCAGATGCCTTGAGGTTCACCCACTATTTTTTCAATCAGCCAATAAGAGCTCGGCGTTTTGACATCATCGCAACCCCTGTGCGAAAGCAGACGAACTTGCGCTCTATCATAGCCTCCTATATACTGAAAAAGCCGGGCAGATCACACCAAGAAGCGGCCGCCGAAATGGAAATGGTGAAGCGGCGGACAACGGAAGAGAGGAGAGCCACGTGACTGGCGCCCCGCTGCGGCGAGACGCCGAAACACACTTCTCCCGAGCGAACAAGTGTGTTTTGGGTCCTCGCCGCTGCAAAAGCTGTGCGCTGACGTCCAGGTTCCCTGAGAAATGTCTCTTTGATGCTCTGTGCTACCAAGTCCTCGCGCTCCAAATCTGCGACTGGGCACTCTATGGCTGCGTTGTCGAACTGCCAGGCTTTGTGAGTATAAAGGAGGCTATGGCACCACATACCTTCGCCAACGCTTCGGTGTCCCGTTCACCTCGAGCGCAACCAAAGCACGGTGGAAGGCAACGAGCGCGCGCTGGAGGCCGGCCGTTCGAGAGACATGTCCTGTCGTTCTCGCTGTCTCCTAGACTATGGCCGCGGTATGAACAACGTACTCATCGCTGTTTACGGTCGTCCACCGTCTCTCCCGCAGGAACCTGAAGATGCTGGAGGACAGCGACAACCCCGATCCCAGCGACGACGCGGACGAAAAACCCTGCCTCGAAGGCAACAACAACTGCGTCGATCTCGTCCTGTACAGCAAGGGCCGGGCCAGGGGCTCGCCGAGTTCGGTCAGGAACGCGTCGGACTCTGCCGCAGGTGAGGCCTTCACCCACGTCGCATATAACGGTAGAGATAACGAAACACGAGACACCGGAAGAAGAAGAAAAGAAATGTGTTCGAGACGGTTGTGTGTGTCGTCCTCTTTTTCGTGTCCTTCTTCCTGATGTCTCAGGTTTCGTTATGTCTGCAATTCACCAGCTTGCCTGTACTTTACCCTTCTCTCAGTTCGCGTATAATACTCCCGATCGCGCAGTTCTGTGCCTGCCAAATATTCCCGAAACCCACGCGTGCACATTTTCCAAATTTGCGAAATGTCGAGCCCGCAAAAAGAAAATCGTTTAACTTTACAGTATCTAAAATAGTTCTGAGCGCCATTTAGTTTCAGTGACGAACGCAACGGGCCGATTATCTAGCCCCAATTTTTTTAAAACAAATACCGTCCTTTTCTGCTTTCAATAACATCCCCCTATTGACTTTCGCTAAATTATAAAAGGCCTAATCTCACAGCCTCGCTGCCGGAGCTCCGTTTAACAAAATCCGCGACGGACGCAGGTGCCGCATATTTTATTTCGGGCCCTGTACCTGTCCTCCAGCTGTCATTTCTCTCTTTTTTCTCTCTCTCTCTCTCTCTGAACGACCGATTGTACAAATGAAACTTCAATTTGAAAGTCTGTTTTGGCCAACTTGCTGAGTTTCTTTTTGTTTTTATTTTTTTTAAAGTTGGTTTAGGCATTTTTATGTCAAAGCAGCAGGCTCGACGTCTGCCTCCGCCAAATAATAGCGATAACACCAGAAAGAAGAAAACATAAATTCCGACGGAGAGTACAATTAACCTTTCGTAATTTTCCGATCCCACAATATATGATCGCTCGTACCTGTTTCCAAAGTGCACACGGCACGTTTCTCGACAAAACGGCAGCACCCCGTCGTCGCTACCGACAGCAGTCGTCCGCACGCATGTCACTGCATCTACCCACACAGACAATGTGAGCCGACAGACTCGATCTTAACTCACGTTACTCATGCGGTCGTCGCGTGCTCCATCGTCTCTTGATTTGGCGAAGAGTTGAGCGACGTTCCGATACCGGCTTGGACCAAGGGCGGTAACTAACGCGCTCACGCCCAGATTGCCAGCGATTGTAACTTGGCACGCGTTTACCATTGTCTCAGCCAGGCTCCCGGGTCTTAGAACGAACGACGTGTCCCCCGCAGGTTCCCCCAGCGCCCCGCTGTCGTCGTCCTCGCGGCTCCAGAACGTCGAGGCGTTCGGTTCGCTCCTGGGCGAAGAGATCGTGTCCTCGTTCTCCCGCATGCTCAAGAGCGAGCAGCAGCCCCCGGGCCTGGTGGCCACCAGCCCACCGACGACCCCGAAGTCCGTCGAGGCCGACACGCTGTCCACGGGCACCGAGAGCTCGACCGGCAGCAACCCCAACCAAACTCGGTGTTCGGACGACGTCGGTGGCGGCGGCGGAGTCGTGGCCGTGCCCGACCAGGCCACCGGCGCTTCGCTGGAGCGGCTCCAGGAGTGCCTGCGGCAGAACATGGAGCGCTACGCGTGCGAGGCGCTCAACACGCAGAACATCGCGCGCGTGGTGCGCGAGCTGCTGAGTGTGCACAACGTGGGTCAACGGCTGTTCGCCCGCTTCGTGCTGGGTCTGTCCCAGGGCACGGTGAGCGAGTTGCTGTCCAAGCCCAAGCCCTGGGACAAGCTGACCGAGAAGGGCCGGGACTCGTACCGCAAGATGCACGCTTGGGCCTCGGACGACTTCTGCGTCTTCATGCTCAAGTCGCTCGTGCCCAAGAAAGGTGCGAGCCTCTCGTCGTCTCTCGCTGCCCGCTTCGCGTTCCTCCGTTCACCTTTCCCGGGCCTTAGCCAAGTTCTTCAAGATGAGTGCACGTGACCGGTAGCGTCGGAAGTGTTCGGGAAACAGGGGAGTTTTTTCCTCCCCTTCCTCCGAATGTTTACTATAGTCGGTGACAGGTTAAGAGGCCAGGGGAAGCCCCTCCCACATTCTCCACTTTAGCAGAGCAAACCCTGGAGAGGTGGTGTGGAGGTTACCTTCTCTCCAACGTTCGCTCATAAGCTAAACACTATAGGAATGTCTGGGGGCGATCGCCCTCCCCCTTTTTCCGACGCAACTGCATGTAGTGCCTTCTTGGGCCCGCGCGTAATTTCGCAACGCGGTAAAGCCTCTACTGAATTTGTCAGGAGTGTGATGAGCCTTTATAGAATACTTGGTATTATGGATTGGTGGAATGGACTAACCCCTCGGTAAAAATTTCTAGCGGGCCACTGCTAAACGCTTGATCGAATATTCGTCTGCATGCCTCCAACTAAAGAATTTACTCGAGGAAAGCTCGTGTACTGCGTTGAGCCCTCAGAAAGAGTGTTTGCAATGACTGTTTCTGAGAGCATCCCTGCCATCGGCGGTGCGCAGGCAAGGAGGCTGGCGGCCCCAACGCGCCCTGCCGGCAGGAGGACGCGGCGGCCGAAGAGCGGATCGCCCAGATCCTCAGCGAGGCTCAGCAGGCCATGATCACGCCCAAGAAGGAGCGCAGTCCAGCGCCCGGTTCGGGCGTGAGCAGCGGCACGCAGCAACAGAACGGTTCGGCCGACGAGTCGCACGCCGAAAGCGACGGCGACGCGGACAACCACAGCACGGCCTCCGGAGGCGCGCCTCAGAACCTTAGCAGCGGCGGAAGCGTCGGGGGCGGCTGCTCGGCGGGAAAAGACGCCAAGCGGAGCAGCCGCAAGTACGAAAACGACGATATACCGCAGGTCAGTAGGCGCTTCGGGCCGGCACTCAAGGGCTTCTTTTTCTCCTCGCGGGCTGGACTATAGCGTTGACGCTTCGCAATCGCTGAACCACCAGAGTGTGGAAGCTCTTGTAATTCGCGGATCACCACCCGGATTTGGACAGGCGCTCGCTGAGCACTGTCGTAGCAGAAGCTTCACGGTGAACACACGTTATCCTCCCGATTTGTACAGTCCAGATGCGGATCGCGCATGGTCCAGTTGGAGAGCTTTTCGTAGTTCTAACTATTGTTTAATTTTATTTCTACGCGTGTAGTACTAAATATTGGGTACCGAGAGGGGGTTTACCATGTACAAAAGTGAGACATTGAGAAAGGCAGTAGTGGCTGTGAAGTCCCTGTGTCATTGTTGCATGAAGCGTCTTGCATGAAGCGATGACCATCGTAAGATATGATGTCTTCTTACAGATCGCCTTGAAAATTAATAGCCCGGATTTAGATGTTTTGCGTAATCTAGATAATGCACAGCCATAGAAACGCCGCGAAATGGTGTACTTTTTGGTCCTTTTTTTTTAAACGTAAATCACGATCCCCCCTTTTTTTTTTTTTCATCTGTTCCGGGTTCGACAGGAGATGGTTGCGCGCATCTACCAGGAAGAGCTAGCCAAGCTGATGGGCCAACGCGTGGAAGAGAGCTTCCGGCAGCAGCAGTACGACCGCACCCACGAGGAGATCCGCCAGGCTCTGTCCATCTACCACCAGGAACTGTCGCGACTCTCGCAGCTGGCCCTGACCCCGGGCCACGAGTTTGCCCGGTTCGGCGCCGCCCTGCCTGGGGCCCTTCTCAACGGCGCCTTTCCCGGGCTCTCGCTGGCGCCCGAGGCCCGCGGCACCGGCGGCGCCAGGGGTGCGGACCCCGCGGCTGACGCCCTGCGCCATCACGGCGCCGAACAGCGCACGTGTCGCTCGACCACACTGAACGCTCAACCCTCGCCCAGGGACTGGCACAAGCGCAGCAAATACAGTGAGACCCTCCCCCCGCTTCACATGCTCTGTCCGCTCGCGAGTGCTGGAACCGGGCCCGGCGATTTTCGCGGAGGGACGTCGTAGTACCGCGAACTTGTCGGTGATTCGTGTTCGAGTCGTGCACGAATTCGCTGGTCGGTCGCTTCTGCAAAATTACCTTGTGTGATTCAGGCTTGGCTATGGCCCGTTCCAGTGTGTAGCGCTTTTTAGAGGTACCGGTGGCGTCAAGAAGTTTTGAAAGATGAGGGGGCGACGGAAAAGTTAAGAAACAAATCATAAAAACGGTCGCAATTAAAAAAAAATGCTTAGGAGGCGATTGTTTTCTCGCCGCCGTCCAACGCCGCAGTGCTCCTTTTTCGTTGGAAAAAAAATAATGTGATAATTTTGCAGGAGATTAGGTTCGGCTTTGGTTCTCTTGGTTTTTGTGTCGGCATGTCGGGGTAAATAGAATTTTGAGGCACTTTTCTGAACTTTACAAGGCAGTCGCCAAAGGCATGCTTCTCTGCAGTGCTCGGTAACGATGTGGAGAAGCACACTTGGCGGTGTTGGGTTGACATGCAGCTTTCGTTTCTTGCAAGGTCTGGACGATCTCAAACCCTATTTTAGAGAGCATATTTAATCATACTAGTTATACTTGAGTGTAGAGGCTATGTGACTTAAAAGAAAATGTATCTTTTTTATTGGAGATCAGTTTTAGTTAAAATTAGTATGCCATAAAATACCGAGCAAAGCACCTGCCAAATTTTAGAGATAACCTTAAAAAGTGGGGTATGACCACTTAGGTCCGAAAGCAAACATGCAGAAGGGACCCATGGCAGGGTAGGTTCCACTGCTTTGCACCGGTAAGTTTTAGAGAAGCGGCTGAGGAAGAGGGACATCTCATTAGCCAAGTGGACTCGGAAGACTTGGGCTTTGCTTAGTTTTCAAACATATCAAAAGTAGCGAGTGGACGCTTATCGGGACATGGGCACATGCTCAATATTCCAGAGTAGTTTTTTTTACAGTCTTATTTAAGTTATAATGTATTGCAATGTTTTTTTCTTCAATCAATTAAGGGAAGAATTTGATTCCCTCTCATTGAACCGTGATATGCACACTTCTCCTGGAGTTTGTATAAAATAGCGACAGCTCTTTCATTATCACTTTATGGCAGAATTTTAAGTTGAATCGAGGCAAGCTCTTACTATACTCCGTCTCACCTTACAACAGGCCGCAGGGCAAGCCATCTCAGCCAATGCAACCCTGTAGGTGCATCACATGACCTTGTGCTCTGATGCACACCCCAGGAGGGTCATTTGAAACTAACTCTATGCTTGATTACACCCGATCGGATATTTTGTTTGCTGGAGTCCATCGTAAGGTAAAACAGAGTACAGATGTCTCCCAAAATAATCAGTATTGTTTCTGGAGATCCCTGTTTTTTTCTCGTCGACGAGGAACACAAATTGCTAGACATCCCATGCCGACTAAGCTTCACAGTATAAGTGTCTCCCCCTGGGGGTCGTCGTCCCGCAGGTAGCGCTTTCTCCCTAGTGCGGCCCGGCCTCAAGTTCCCGGGCAGCTCGACCCCGACCCAAAGTCCCCCCGGCCCCGGCGGAGGGGTACTGTCCCTTGCTGAGGCCTCTGCCCCCTGCGTCGCCGAAGACCTGGGTTCATCCCCGCTGCAGCGCATGCAGTCCATCACCAACTCGCTGCTGTCACAGACCTCGACACCAGCCATGCCAGCTTCTAACCAGAGGCAGGCCAAGGCTGTGCTGCCCCCAATCACACAGCAACAGTTTGATCAGTACAACAACCTCAACACTGAGGAGATTGTCAAGAAGGTAGGCCACACTCACTTTTATGTTTGCTGACTGCAGGAGATGATCGGCCCAGGCATGTGACCTGGGCCGATCATCTACAAATCTCGTCGGGATGTCCCGACGTCCCATGGGTGTCCAATGTTCCATAGATCTTCTAACGTTCCATGGATGTCCCAATTTTCCATAAACGTCCTAACGTTCCACTGATGTTCTAACATTCTATTCACGTCCTAATGTTCCATGGATGTTCTAATGTTCCGTGAATGTCCTAACATTCCATGGATCTGTTAACGTTCCACTGATGTTCTAACATTTCATGCATGTCCTAGTGTTCATGAATGCCTGAAACATCCATGGATGTCCTGACATTCTGTGGTTGTTCTGCGAACATTCGTGAGACATGTGTGCTGCCTGGAGGCTTGACAGCGTCAAGATAATTTGCTGGTTTCAAGCCCGGGCAGAGTGGTAGCAATATGATGAAGGCTGATTGTGACGGTATTATTTTCTGGCATTGCAATGCAATTTTAAGAGCACCACTTGATCTGAATTAGTCCGTTATCCACGAGCAAGGCACCCCTCATGCTTGAAATTGGCGAGCCGCTAGGAGTTCAGACGTCAGGAACAATCCTTTTGCTTTGTTTGAAACAATATTTTTCCAAGGTACATGCATTCCTCCTCGCATAGACTATCGCTGGCACCTGTATGCTAGCCTGTTAATTGAGGAGTTAAGAGAACATACTAACAGTTGAACGAGGTTATAACGAAGTGGGCAGAAATTGGAAATGTGTTTGCAGTTTTTTTAAATAACGGGGGCAGCACCACGCATTATGCACCTCCTCCGACTGGTGTGGCTGGAGGACTTGTTGAAATATGGCAGAACTTTGTTCAGATACTTTTCAGCAGACTGCAAAAAAAGAAAAGAAAAATAAGCTATGATTAGAGAAGACAGAATGGCCTATGATGCCACTGGTTTAGTTTGAATTAAGATAGGAGGCAACTTTTGCACAACAGTTCATTTCACACGCTTGTTTACGGGGCACTCAGACTGGCACAAAACCAGTGGAACTTACAATGAAGAAAAATAGACCATGTGCCACACGCTAGAAAAAAAGATAGCAATGAAAGCAAGCAGCGTTCCAAGGCCGCTAGCTTGGGCATGCACTTCGGCAAATGCACCACTCTTGGGGCATCTGAGGAATTATTTCTCACAAGCGCCGAGTCATAGAGTGTGTGCGTCGAGTGCCTTTATGCACACGTGCGAGCTAGGGTGGTGTGATAACATCTTGAACATCTCGGCCCTTTTAGGCCCTCTTTATGTGTCTTGAAGGGGCACGTGCTGTGGCACCTCTTGGCATAAGTGCAAAGCTTTGGATAGTGTTTCATAGCCCCAAGGTTCATTTGGATGTTTACTTTGCCACATGCTGATTGCCCACCCTGACACAGTTGCACATGGGCATGGGCTTTCCCTCTTTTCCTGTTCCGACAAAATGTTGCCAAGCTCAGACGCTAGAAGACGATAGTGCATTGTATTTTCAATTGTTTGCACAAATTTTTGAACTTAAAAGGGCTAAGTATTACTAATGATGATTTATTCCCATACTTCTGATCTTGCAAGTAATATGCAGAATTGAGTGAGACACAGCAGAGTCAGTTCCATGATTGTTTTGGTAAGAATGTATTGGTAACATTTAGGTATCTTCAACTATATAATCATCAATACAAAATGTTTTCGCCCATAAGAACACACAGACAAATGAACAAAGTCACATTTACTGGCATAAAATAAGTAAACAAATCAAATATGTTTTATGAATGCCTGGACAATGAGAGGTTAGCTTTGGCATCTGCTATTACTGCTGTAAATTGGGAAACTTGTTGGTGCAGTGCAACCACTGACCGGAACTCTTTAACGTGCATCACACAGTAGTGATTACAGGACCACATGCTGTGTAAGGCTCATCCAGATGAAAACAAGAAGTGGCAGGGTCTGAACCCAGGATTAATTTGTATGTGCTCCAACAGGAGCTTTTGCTCGACATGCACTTCGCTGTGAGGGGAAGGTTTCTGCACAAGATCATTTTAATACCACCATGAAACGGTACACTTGGCCACCAATCATGCAGGAGGCAGACGCACGTGAGACCTTGCAGGTGTCTTGAGCCGCTCTTCTTGTCCTTGTCTCAGGTGAAGGAACAGCTGAGCCAGTACTCCATCAGCCAGAGGCTGTTTGGGGAGAACGTTCTGGGCTTGTCCCAGGGCTCTGTGTCGGACCTGCTGGCTCGGCCCAAGCCCTGGCACATGCTCACCCAGAAGGGCCGGGAGCCCTTCATCCGCATGAAGATCTTCCTCGAGGACGAGAACGCCGTGCACAAGCTGGTTGCCTCCCAGTACAAGATTGCGCCAGAGAAGCTCATGCGCACCACGGGCTTTACCGCTGCCACCAACCCTCTGGGTGAGCCCTCGTTGCCGGAAGACATTATACGCAGCGTCAGCTATTTCGTGCCGCCTTTTTAAAGCTGCCATACTAGCCTCCCCATTGGCCCAACGCGTTTCCTTTGCACGAAAGCGTCTCTCGTGCAAAGTGTCTGCTGTTGATGGCTGTGAATGGCCGTCCCCTGTTGATGGCTTTGAATGCCAGCCGAGGTGCCCGCAATTTGACTGAGGCCTTTTGTGAAAAAGGTGCCATGTAACTGAGATCTTGATTGTTTTGTAAAATTTCCCTGAAAAGTCTAAATTAGTATTTAGTCCTTTGCAGCAACATGCCAGATGCCGTTTTTTGGTGTGTGCATACTTACTGGTAGTATATTTCAGTTTCATTCCTGCAGCAAGGTGATACTTCCTTTTCCTGCTGCTTTTCTGGAGCAGCAGGAGAAAATGAACCATTTAGAGGGGACATGCACATTCATTAGTAGTCTTCTGCTAAAATTAAAAGCTGTGTGTGCATAAAGATAAGTTGTAGTTTATTTTCATAACCATGGGCGTAGACTATGGGGGGCATCGGGGCTCGTGCCCCCCCCTGGTGAGATCCGGGGGGGGGGGGGGGGGAAGGAAGAACCCCCCCCCCTTTCCCCTGGGCCATGATCCTTACCGAGATGCTGTTTACGTGCCATGTAACGAGCTTCTAGTAGTGGCATGTAAACAGAATAACACACACAGCGACGGACAGATGGCGATATACATATGCTGTAAAATGTACCCCCAAAATAACTACTAATAATTGCCGGTGTAAAAACAATTGTGCAAAAAAGCACCACACGGAAAACTTCTCAGCCTGCCCGCCCCCTCCCCCCCTCCACTCCCCCGGAAAAATGGAAAGTTTACGTCGCTGTTCATAACTATAAACTCATAATTATAAAATAAGTAGAAGGTATAGGCCATTTCATTTAGCGCTCTCTGGGCGGCACCATTTTGTTCGACAGCAGCGCCCTCTCCATACATCCGGGGAATTTAGCGGGTTCGGCGGGGAAAACGAGAAAGAGGGCACGCGCCCGACACACGCTAGCAGACGAAAAACCAAGAGGTTGCCATTCTCCATCCTTGGGCTGTACCGGTGGGCTGTACGGAACATTGAACTTTAGCTCGTGGCTGCCGTTGTGAAGTGGTTCGCATTCTTAGAATAGTTATGGCTACTCCAATATCAGCCTATAGCTCTCTGCCCAGGCGAAAATCAGTCCACTTCCAGCTGGATTATGGAACTGGAAATGTGGCAGTCCAGCTGGATTCCAGCTGGGTTCAGCTGAGTCCAGCCGGGTCCAGTTGGAATCCAGCTGGACTGCCTCATTTCCAGTTCCATAATCCAGCTGGAAGTGGACTGATTTTCGCCTGGGAATTTTCTTCTGTTTCGGTAAATGATCAACTAGCATATCTTTTTTCCGTTACTTAAATAGCAGTTGAGTCAGCCGGCAGTGCTACCCTCAACTACTGCGTGTATTGCGGGAGGAGAGCACGTTTTATATATTATTTCAGACTTCCACTCATGGTAAAGGCCTACACCAGTACGAACTTTGTATAGTAAAGAAAGGTACAGCAACCGGATTTACTTTTTGCCGAAGAGGCCGGCCAACCTGACACAGTTTTCCCTATTTCTTTTTTTATGTGCACGCAGGTAACAGCGCAATTGGACTCTGTTAGTCTTTTTATCTAGCATAGTATTACGCGATAACTGGCATACGAAAATCTGTGCATCTGCGCTGGAAGTTTTCAAAATGACGCTATTTTAAACAGAGTTTGCACGTCAGCCGGATGCTAGGTACAGCCCACTTGGCGGAGCAGACGACAGGCGGGCGAGAGGGGGAGGGCATTTTTTTCTCTCTATTACCCTAATGGGTAATAGAGAGTTCCATTAGGGTTTTCTATGACCCTAATGGAACGGCCTATAGTACACCAGAAGGTTTCCTGGCAGATTTTCTGAATGATACTGTGTTATGAGCTTTGATTTCGAATGGGAACTGCAAGCCTCTTACTAATGTTAAGGGTGTTGTAAAATACCTCAGAAGCACCCACTTCGTTCAAGCACCCACTATTAACATTTCCCAAACTTGGGAATTCTTCAAATTTTACACTAACTGTCCAATTTGACTGGACAGTTAATGTTAATGAGCGCCCATGTCTAGATTAACCCAGTTTTTAGTAAAAATGGAGTGGGCGCCCCCCCCCACCCCGGTATTTTACTGTAGCTATCAAAACTACACAAGGTAGCTTTTAGCACGCGCATTGCATCCACGAAGCAGAAAGCAAGCTATATTAAAGCTGACACCAGATTTATAAATATGATATCATTCAGTTATTGTAAATCATAAAATAAAGTTTTTCCCTGGCACATGTCCTTTTAAGTGCAAAGTAGCTAGTTTCATGAAGACTACATGTGTATATTTACAATTCAAACTATGTGTCTGTTAATTTAATAGGAGGGCATATTAATATAAAATGGAATGAGATCTAACTGAAGGATTGTCAGAAGGAAAAAGACAGCAACAAAGCAACATAACAGTTGTACTTGGCTGAGTGTACAAGCTCCAAGAACTGCCCATTGATGAGTATGTTTCCGCGCACGCGTGGGGCATGACACCACTGATAGAAGAGCAGAGTAAGATACGATAATTCACTCTTATTAAGCTATTGAGTATATGAACATGTAAGGGACCTCTTTTTGTACTAAAATGCCCAAATAAAATCTTTTTAAAAAAATCTTGTCTATTTTTTTTATTTGCACCTCCCCTTAAAGGACAACTCCGCTTCTTTTTGGTCTTGAAAAAACAATGCAGTCCTCTTCAGTATCATCTAAGAAGACTACACATCAAATATTAGGACGTAATTCTGTCTAAATGTTTCTTAAGCAGCCCGGCAAACTTTGTAACTCGCCAAGTTGCTGAAATCGGCTAACTCGAGCGGACGATTTGAGGTGCAACCAACAGTGCAGTCAAGGCAACGGTGTGAGGGTAGCCAACATTGAGCTAAACATCATCACCATTGCCCCCTTTTGCTTATTTTTACTTCTCCGGGCAAGCGTAACGGGTGACGTCAGTAACGTTTCCTCTGTGTGCTCAGCAGTGTCCTTCTGATTGGCGTAATGCGCCTGCACAGCGAACTTCTTGGAGCCGTTTGGCCGCCTTGCCGTGGTGCCGCTGATACTGTTGTCTCCCGTGTCACAACCGTCGTCGTCGTCTCACTCTTTAGGATTATTGTCTCTCGGAGTCTTGTCCACACTATGGACACTACGTGCGCGGACTGATGCCGTAGTTGTGCAGACGTCGTCGAATGTCGTAGACGCCAAAACATGGTGAAGAGTGCAGTGCAGACGACACTTGTGCCTGGCACACGCACGCCCCAATCCCGTCCGTCATTGCGTAGAGGATCACGTGACGTCTCGTACCACGTGATAGCCATATTCTTGGCGGTTTGAGGCCACGTTACCGGATGGAACCTAAGTTTCAGTTTTGATTTCTGCTCGTATTGAAAACTAGATTTAAAAATATATATCCCATTTTTTGCGAAGCGAAATCACTCATTATGCCTAAATCTTTGGAATTGAGCGGAGTTGCCGTTTACATCTTTATTGCCAAGATTAAAAATTGAGTGAATGGAGTATTTTGTTTTGCCTTTCATGAAATGGCTCATGGAGGGGAGACCTTCAATGCCATAACTTCTTTCTGAACCGGTACTTGGCTTTATAAAAACTGCTGAATGATACTGTCAAATACTATATGATGTGGCAAGATTCTATACATTTGCCCGTCTCCCTCTAGTTTGTAGCACTCAGCTCTAATGCCTACGTTTGACGTCCTAAAACTGCAAAACATTTCACTAGATGTAGTTTCCCGAACATCTGAGCGTAAAGTTCTGCTCTGTCCCAACAGCTGGCTCCAGCAAACTACCGCCCACGAGTGCAGCGGCACGGGCGAGGGACCTTCCCTCGCCGTCCCAGCCCCACCACCGCAACAGCCACTGCGACAGCGGGTCTTCCCCGCTGCTCTCCAAAGGGGGCTTCAACACAGCCAGCTCGGACCTCCAGGTGGCCCTTCTCCAGGACTGCCCATCGTCGGGCAGCGTGCCACTGCGATCTCTCTACCAACCGCCGTCGAGTCCATCTGCCCTGGCCGCTGCACGGAAGGCCCATCCGCACCACGGCATGGCACGGTCTCTCGCCTACGTCCAGCCCTCTGTGTACGAGATGGCGGCACTGACCACAGACTTGGACACCCAGAACATCACGGCAAAGATCAAGGAGACTCTGATGGCCCACAACATCGGCCAAAAGGTACAATCAAAGACCTTCGATTGAGCGCGTGATGATTTGAACTTTGCATGTATCAACCACAAAATAATGACTTCTGGAATTGTATGTTCATGTCAGCTTGATTCAAGGATGGAGTATCTGTGTTAAGTTGATTCTGGTGCGTGGAACATAGTCGTCTATAAAAAAATTTTATTGCCCGAAGCGTTGTGAGACGGGGCATTTAAATGTGTTGATTGCCAGCCATTATATATTTTTTTTACTATATTTGCACTAACATAAAAAGTGTTTCTGAAGTCCATGTTCCAATTAAAAGCACTAGAAAAAACATTACAACATCATTATTTTTTATCAGTTCTTTTCAATTATTAGCGACTTCGATGTGCTTGCTTGAGCATTTCACATAAACATGGTTCCAATTTCCTTTGCAGATCTTTGGTGAGGCTGTGCTGGGTCTGTCTCAAGGCTCCGTCAGTGAGCTCCTCTCCAAGCCTAAGCCTTGGCACATGCTGAGCATCAAGGGCAGGGAGCCGTTCATCCGTATGCAGCTCTGGCTCAATGATCCTCACAATGTGGAGAAGTTGCAAGTCATCAAGAATGAGAGAAGAGAAGGTGAGACCTCCTGGGTGATGTAACATATATATATAATTTGTGACAGGTTTATTAGGAATCCAGTAGATCCTCAGCCTCCAGTGACAGCTTTATTGTACCTTTGATAACACTTTGGCGCATGTGCAGCCAAAGCCCGATGGAGGGTGTTGTGCATGTGCTGACAGTTGCGCTTCTTCTGCATTTTCTTCCTATCACGGTCTATAAATACATTTGTCTCTTCACTTAATTGGTATCATGGCCAGCATTTTGTGTCACACAAATAATGCTGTGTGTGAGCATTCCAAGCATGTTACACAAAGCGTGACATTCTCCCTACAGTCAAATAACTAGGGTGACTAACATGCTGTTGGCATTCAAATAGAAATTTTCTGGGAAGCCCAGGAATTGCAGTGGCGTCGGAAATAATTTGTTAAAAGTGGGGGGCCAACTGTGGGGGGGGAGGGGGGGCAAGAGCAATTTTCCGCCATTTCCCGCATATTGTTTCCATTCAATTTCGGAAATATCTAGATGGAAGCGATTGCCCCACCCTGCCCCCCCTGTTCCGATGCCACCGCCCAAATGTTGAGTCTTTTAGCGAAATGTATGCTGCCGTTATGAAACATTCCCTGGTGTTCCTTTTTGAGTTCTTTTTACAAGCTTCTACTGCCCTCATGCTTTGTTTAGGCTACTGGTAGTTAGTAGGTTTGGTTTGTTGACCGAACTCACTGTTTGTTTGCTGAATCCTGAACTATAGACATTCACCGTAATTAGTACTTAATTTGGATACTTACGGAACTCGAAGCAGTAATATTACGGCACAACTCAAGTTGCAGATGGAGATTTAGAATGAAATATATAAATATGTAAGATGTCTATTTTGTTATTGAGCTATTAGAGTGATTGACAATAGTTAATAAACTAATCTTCCCAGTACTTATTCTATCTATATCATAAAATTAATCTATCTCTGGTCTTAAAAACTTCCTCACAAATGTTTTGAACGAAGCAGTGTTTCAGTGTTGTCAGCAATGTGCTGCAGAGCTTGAAAATAGCAAACTGATCACTCATGAAGACATGACATGCGGCAGGTTTTAAGAAAGCTATGAAGAGCACCTAGGGAGACTAAACAATCATCCTTTCTGCTCGTCTTGTACCTATATTTAGATCAGACTTGTATATTTATTTGGCATTGTGAGATCTGATGTTCCTACGCAGCCGGCCAGTCTTCCCTCTTAACAAACTGGCTTTTTCTTGCAGCCAACAAGCGGCGTCGCACCCACGTCGACCTCGAGGTGGCTCCTCGTCCGATGGAGCCCCACCCTGCCAGCATCCCGGGGAGCGTCCCAGGGAACAGCTTCCCGTTTGCCCCGCCCTCCTCTCCTTTCCCCGCTGCCAAAAAGCCCCGCGTGCTCTTCTCTGACGAGCAGAAAGAGGCCCTGCGTCTCGCCTTCTCCATGGACCCGTACCCGAGCACGGCCACCATCGAGTTCCTCGCGGCAGAGCTGAACCTGTCTGTGCGCACAATCACAAACTGGTTCCACAACCACCGGATGCGTCTCAAGCAGCACGTGGTGTCTCCGAACCCGGACGACTCTCCCCGAGCCCCCGACCTGCTGACCCCAACCATCGCGTCCAGGGACGGTGGTTCGGCGTCCTTCGACCCCGCCCTCTTCCGGGGCCTCCTGGTCCAGAGGCTCGCCGAGATCCAGGGCGACAAGAGCGGCCTGGGTCCCTCCGCGTTCGGCGGGAACAGCAACAGCAGCGGCAACCTGAGCATCTACAACAGCTACTCGCCGTCGTCGCAAGGCAACGACGAGGGCACACTCGACCTGAGCATGTCGAGCCACAACTCGGCCGGCCGAAGGGACCGCGACCGGCCTGCCGGCGGAGACTACACGCCGACCGAAGAGGAGGACTCGAACCTCTCGCAGGACGAAGTGCCGACCGCTGCCGGCAGCGACCGAGACTCCCTGCACGACGAGAGCCTTGCCCGAAAGAACCTGCACAGTCACAGCCGGAGGAGAAAACCTGCCGCACCCAAGTGGGTCGACCCGGGGCTCTCGCCCGACTCGGAGGACAACGAGGAGGACGAGGACGCGGGGGACGACGAGGAAGACGAGAGCGCCATCATCAATGGCGTCTGCGTGCGGCAGACAGCGGGGGACTTCAGCCTGCGGGCGCTGGCCAGTCAGACAGTACGGGTGGACCCCGTGGCAGCCATCGATGACCTTGCGCGCAAAAGGGTCTTGGAGAGCAGGAAGGGCGATGAGGAGGAGACGGAGGGGGAGCAGGATGATGGCGAGGAAGGCGCCCTCGAACTATGCACTGCGGCGAGGAAGCCCCGGAGTGAGCAGCTGCAGGCACCACAGCAGCCGCACTCACCGAGTGACAGCATCAACAAGCTAGAACAAAGGCTGGACAGAGACGAACGCCCCGAGGACTGGGAGTTTTAAGGCGACCCAATACGGGGACCTCTCGCTCTTTTCAGCCGGCGTGTGCGAGTGCGCGTGTGGACTGCGACTCGGAAAAAACCCTGCCCCGTCATAGAGACGTTTCCCCAGAGATCTCCGGGGACACACGTGAAAGAAACCCGGTGGTCGTGTCGGAGGCGCCCGAGACTTTCGGCGGCCCCGGCAGCAACGCTTACTCGAGCCCGGTGTACTGTGGCCTTAACTGTTTTTGTTCGTTTTGTGTCGTTCTCAAGCATTGACGTATGATCATGTACACAAAAGGAACTTTAAAGGACGTGCAGTGCAGTTTTAGATTCCCTCCTCTTTGAGGAAATAGCAGTGTTACGAGTGAATCCCGGTATCTGTGCGTGAGTGAGTGAGCGAGTGAGTTCCTCTTTCTGAAGCAATGCCTTTCTTCATTTCTTTTGTGATGCATCACCACAACAGCCTTCACATGTGAGCTGCATTGTTTTTTTGTTTGCCAGGATTTTTGGCTCGTTTTGATAGGAACAAAGGCATTAGTTAAAGAGATGTAGTCACGCAGTAGCTTGTAACCCAAGAAACTGCAGGATGCAAAAGCGAAAGTGTTACTCTCGCTAGAGCCCGGTGAAATCTGACTGACTGAGTGAAGGCCGTGTGCAATGTGCAACCATATTTCATCTACAGAATGTGCACATCGTTGAAGCCTCCAGTATGCTTAGGCACACAATCCATTTGGCATGGCTGCCAAGCGCAGTGTTTTTGCCACAGCGCTCTTTTAGATGTTTGATTCAGACATTTGCACTCCCTTCAGTTAATGATGCCTGAAACTTTGAGTTTTTTTAACTTCATTGGGTTGATGTCATAGAAGAATTTTAGGCCTCATTTTTGCTGCTATGGGGTGCAACGCCTTGAGCAGGCATCCATGATGCACCCTCCATCTTAAAGCAGTGGTAGGATTGTGGCTGTCCTTTTCTTTATTTTTTTTAAATGTTACAAGCCAAAGACGAACTATGAAATTTTTTATTGACCTGTTTTTGCAGGGTTAATAGTGCTTTACGATCAAGGTGAATAGAAATCCTGTCCCGTGTTTGCTGTTGAGAGGCACCTGGGAGTTTGTGACTCTAAGCTATTTATTTGTCTTGGATTCAGTCAGACACCGTTTTGTAACTGTCTAGTCCCTTTGTTCTTTCTCGTCCCTGTCACCCATACTAGTCCACTGATCCAACAGACACCCCTACAAACTATTGGCTACCAGTCGTAATTCCATTTTACCATGCAAAGTAGAATTGATCCGTCATATACTATGAAGTGGTAATGCTGCCAACATGGTGTGGCAACGCATCTTTCTGCTAGGGCTCATGTGTTACTCGAGTAGCTTATTTATTACGTAACCTCAAAATAACTCAAGTCAGATGAAACGGTCAATTACGCAGTAGGATTGATTGTGCTCTGGTGCTACCTAGTACTGTTATTTTTATAACTTTTCGGAAAGTCAAGGTTTTTGTTTGTATTCCTGCATAGACAAGAATAGACGCAAATCAAGAGGCTGCCTGTTTGAGCCTACATGCGATTGCTTTTTAAATGTGATATTCTGTAGAAAGTTTGATACAAATCATGAACCAACTAACCGTAAACAAAATAAATCCTAACCCGGTGAAATAGACTAGGTGCTGTACCTGTCACATGTTTTGATTTTGTAACATTGGACAGAAACATTCTCTTGCATTGTTTCTGACCCCCGCTTGAGGATGAGGCCTCCCGTGAACCATAGTGTGAATGATAGCCATGTCCCAAAACATCAGAAAGAAAACCTGAGAACATATTTTTTTTCCTGAGACACGAGCATGCTCCATGCGGCTTATGTGTCCATTTAAAGGAATATGGAACTGGGGTCTAGACCGCAAGAAACTTTAACGCAACATTTGTTAGACAAGCTGCTCTGCCTCCTGATGGCATCTGTTCATCACTTAGTAAGCCGCAATGCTCATGGGGACACCCGTATCGTAGAGAGACCCTTGCCTGTTCTACTCTCATGCGGTAGCATTCGTAACTGCTACCCTCTCATTTATCAGCCTATCTCCGTGGCGAGTGTGCCACTCTACACCTCATCCATGGATGGATTGCTCCATTTTCCCAGGTTTTCCGAAATCCCGCAGGGGCTCAGTGATCTTGTGGCACGCTCCCAATTGCTCAGTTTAGTTGAATCATACGTGCCAATTCTGCAGTAAATGAAAAACAACAACACACAGACATGCTGAACCCTTCCCCTCCTTCTCTCTACCCTTCAAAAGCTTGGTTGATGCGGAGTACTTAAAAAAAAAAAAGCGAGGGTACTCAAAATTATTTTTATATTTTTCACTCCCTGCGTATCGAAGATGTCGGTCTATTAAACTTAGCCTGTGGTGGTGTGAGTAATATAATTATACAAGCAAAAAGGATGTTTTTTTATATGCATACAATGCATCTTGGGTAGAACACGAGGCATTTTTTATTGGTCGTCAATCTTTTATGTGGCTGTTTTTCTCTGGTTGGTGGTCGACGCTGCATACAACTTGTAGGCTGGGAGTCTAACTCCGATTCTTTAGGTCTGGAGGCTTGAATATGACGTGGCTGTTGTGCTACTCTATGTGCTCTTTTTACTGTTTTTTTTTGCTCTGCATATATATATATATATATATAAATATGAAAAAAGAGATTTGTACATATATAAATATACAGACAAAACTGTACCATAATAAGCTAAGCTTAAAGCAGCTGGAAGCCACATGCTGATCCTCTCGCTGTCCGCAAGGCTAGAGACCTGCCGCAGGATTGCCAAACGCTGGTCACTGCGGACTTTTTCGGATTCAGAATCCCCCTTTCTGGTGCTGACAATGAAAGATGACGGAGCACTTTTTAATGTCACGAACCTTGTTCACACCCGTTCTCAGCATTTTCAGCAGGACGAAGCTCTACTGGAGGCACTGTAAATACGAGAGTCACTTCTTAGTTCCCCCTACAACTCCTCTCCTTTTCTATGTCCCTGTTTGAACTACAAACCCCAGTGCAAGTTTTTACACATGCGAGGATCTGCATACATTAGTGGCATTTGCACACATGAATGACTTGTAGCGGAGCTTCTTTTCATGTAGAGCAGATTGAGTAGAGATTTTGGTTTCTAAAGTAGCGTCAGCACTGTTAGTAGCTCGACAGATGAAAGTGGTCAAAAGAACTGCAACATAATGTTCTTTGACCTTGCATGCATAATGATCCCCCATCTCAACTTTGCACCTTCAGAGTTTCTAGAGTAGAATGTGGCCTGAGTTGTTCTTCTTGCCCAGGTGTAACCGCCCCCGTAGTGTGACCCCATTTCGGGACGCGTAGCATTGTCGAGAGCTGCTTGCGAGGCAGCAATGACGTCCCACTGGACGCCTTCCAACCGGTATGTATAGCCAAGACTAGAGGCTGCATTTGAAAAAACAAACCTGGCACCGAAAACATCGGGTGGTACAGGCGATGGGATGATTAGGGCTTACCGCACGCACGGTCCTTGGCAAACCTTTGGAAATTGCAAATTTGACGAACCTGACGTACATTCTCCGAGATTTTGCTTCCCCCTCCCTTCCTTTCATTCATGCGGAATGTGATACATCAACTGCCACTTCTGTATACATATATATATATATATACATACATATATCTCATTGCTTGTTGCCTTCCATAAATATATACATATAAATCCATCGACCGTATGAATGGAGAAGCGAGATCGCCACACGAGAGAGAGGAACACCATGTAAGAACAATGTTTGCCTCATCTTGTGTGTCCATGTCGGTATTGCAGCGAAAACCAAATTTTTTTCTCGGGCAGACGGCACTTTTTTGGGAGAGGCTAGGCCCCCCGCCCTGCTCTGCGCCCCCCTTGTGATGCCACTTGCATTATGCTCTGTACCCTTCTCCAGTGTGCAATGTAATTTATATGCGGGCCTTGTTTTCCTCTCCCCCCACAAGCTCATTTCAGAACCAAAGGTGTTTCTCCCTCGCCCCCTCCTTTTTCTGTCTTGTGGAGTTTGCGTGGCACTGTTTGTGTACGGTCTGGCAACCCTTGTTTCAAGGGAGAAACCCGTGTGCTTGCACCTGCCCTCAAAGCAGTGGATGCGAAACTGTATGTTTGATATTAAGATTCATATTACTATTTTTATTCTACTTTCAAAATAATAATAAAGTTGATCTTTGCCTGTGTCTCAACTCTGTGGCATGTGTCTTTCGTGCAGCGGCTTCCTCGGAACTCTAATAACCGATCCACAGCCCACTTTGAAGAGATATGGAAGTCTGTATGTGCAACTTTCAAGCTCTAGATAACAACTGGGCTATTTAAAATCTAAGCAGAACGTCTTCAGACTATTTCACGGGTTTTCAAGCCTTTCGATCTCAAGCAATATCTATCATTTCTTTATTGATAGCCGACGGACTCCCGCCGGTCTCGGTACTGATGCAGTAGAGCATGAAGAAGCCTACCGATTTTACTAGGGAGGCCCGTAGTCAATCACCAGTTGATCGCTTAGAGCTAGGTGCATGAATCTCGGTGAGAAAATGTCTTCAACTGTTTTTAGTCGAGATTTCAACAACCTCAACCTGCATCTAGACTGCAACTAGTCTGGATGAGGAGTGAAGTAGTCTGGTAACTTTGAACGTTCTACTCTGAAGGGTAAGTCACCGAATGTTTCAGGACCATTTCTGAGCCTCTAGACTACTACTATATTTATCCAAACTTTACATTCATATATTTACACAGGGTTAGGGGAATGACCAGAACGTAAGCATGTGGGTTTAAAATGACCCAGTCTTTGATGAAAACTATCCAGTATATGTCGCACTGAAGTGATGACTTTAAGTACAGTTTCTATGCTTACATTTTCTTCCAAGCACATTTTAGCGTCATCTACTCTACTTTTTTAGCACACTTTTAGGCACTTTCCTATGAAAATACCTGTGAATTGCACATATTCGCACACGTCCACTAACAAACAGACATGTGCCTATTTCGTTAACAGTTTGAAAATATGCTCTACGTTCGAATCTAATAATAATATGAATATCTGAAAATGTTGGCGTTAGTGAGCTTTCCCACCGTTTTAGCTTCGTTGAGTGCGCTTCTTGCACGGCCCGGGTGCACTAGAGAGAAGCGACACCTGAGAAAACTGTCGCCTGTGCCGCTATCCTGCAGCGCAATTGTGTAAAAAAAAAACAGAAAAACGCTTATTTTGACTAGGTGGTGTTGCGATGGGCCCTGGTCAAGGTCACGTTCCTTTCTTCGTCCCCCTTCTTGTCCCCCGGCGGGGGTGTGCCCTCCATTGAAAGTCGGCGACCGGCCGTCTGGGCCGGTCAGGGGTTCCCCCGGAATTGAAATTAGGGAGGTGTCTAAATTTTTAAGGGGGGAGGGGGGCAGTGAGAATAAAGGAGTCGTTGCGAATTAAAGGGGTGCTTTCAGAAAAAACAAAGGGGGGGGGGTGCATACCCCCCCCCCCCTAAGGGATGTGTAGGGAAATCACTGGGGCCGATAATGGCTGGCAACCTCGCCCGGCACCGTGTTGACGGCGCGACACCTGGACGAGAAGTTAAACCGCCCAATTACCGGAGGGTGAGCGGAGACCACGACAACGGATTTGAGGACTCCGAGCGACGACGCCAACTGCGGGGGATCAGAACTCAGAGGCTCAGACGCAATAGACGGGGCAAGCTCCCGATTTGAACTTCAGTAAGGTCAACCCGGATTATCCGGCCAAACCCCTTCCTGAGCCACGGCGCCGCGAAATTGTATGTGCGTGGTCGAGGGGTGAACAGGGGTGGAGCCAGATGTGACGTTTGTTGGCAGCTCGGCCACCATTGTCTGCCAACCGCTGGGGTACCGAACAGTGAGGTCGCAAAGGTGCTCTCGGACGATGTAGATACTTCTATGTATTAAACATAGGCTATCGTGAGAGACGCTCCCGTCTCCTGATTTTCCTGCCTGGAGTCGTCCTGCGGTTCTTGTCCTGGCCTGTCCCTGCCTGATCCTGCCTGGGGAAGTCGCCGGTCGCAACAGTGGTTACATTTAAACAGGGTTTCACCATCAATTGAGAACAATATTTAGAAAGATGACACTCGAAATACAAAATAACCATTTCCTCAGAAGAACGTTGTCTACCGCGGCGGACGTCAGGGTACGAATGCAAAGTGATCATTAGCAACTAATTCTGTAAAATCCACTAATTACCTTTTTAAACATTCACACGAATGTTTAAAGGACAAGGCCAGATTGGACAGTCCCCGGAGGCCAGTGCGGGACAGATTAACCACTCTCCGTCCACCCCTAAGTTGAGACATCGCTGGGAGCTTCGAGCGCGTTGAAACAATGGCACGTATCCTTAGCGTACGTGATCACGCTCTCGCCCATATATCCTCGCGCGGAGAGCTGGGTCAGGTGATGAAAGGGAGGGGTTCCTTGGTCCGGCCGAGAGCGTAGCTCCCTCCCCAGTCTCGGTGTGCGTCAGCGTTCGACAAGGACTCGTGTTCAGTCAGTGGGGACACGAGTGGAAGCCGAACGCAGCACTCCTGAGACGGTCTTTCGATAATGTCCCAGTCATACTAGAGCGATTAACAGAAAGCGAGAAACCTCAAATCAGTCTTTCGCGATTTGGCAGGCGTTGTTGAATAAAGGAGGCTATGCTCAAACACGAGCATCAAGCACGCGAGGGTATCTCTGGCAGGCATGCAATCCCTCGTGCTTACTTCGCGAGCACCGAACGACTAAACGTCTGCCAAAGATACCATTGCGAGCGGGAGGCACTCACTTGATCGAATGACGTTTTAGCGAACGCTCACGTTTCATCGAACGACACTTTAGCGAATAGTCAGACGCCGCGAAGCGGCGTTTTCGGGTGGGCCAAGTGAGTTCACATTTTTGTAATGAGTTGCCGTAGACTGTCGCCGCGAAGCGGCGTAAAGCGCAGCGCGACGGATGGGTTAACGCGCGCCCCCGTTATTCGCTAAAACGACCATTCGCTCAAATGTCGCCTTTCGCTAAAATGTCATTCGCTCTTCTGATATGGACCCGGAAACTGCCGGGTTTCCACTGATAAAAACGGCGAGGCAATCTTTCACTTGACTTGATGTTTGACTTTGAGGAGAGATCGCTGCTTGTGTACCACAACGCCGGTAACTCTTCAACCCGGAAAATGAAAAAGAACGTGGTGTCGATGTCATTTAACTTTGTCATTTCACGTAGGAATACAACCACTAGAACAACAGTACTAGCGCAGGCGATTCCGAAGAGCGCTAAAGGAGCCCCTACTTTGCCACCCACCTGCGGAGCGTTCGTGCTGACAGAACGAACCCTCCGCGCCTCCGCCAAAACGCCAAGGAGGAGGACGGCGCCGCGAGGGCGTCAAAAAGGAGTGACGTATGTCTCATGTGATGCGTGCTACGAGGAGGAAAGTGGCTGATTTCTCCTTCGCGTGAATATTCCTTAACGGACTTCGTAGGGAAAAACTCAATCGCAATGTCACATCACGTGACCAAGAGGGCAGCCAATCAGTAACCGACCAATTGAGTTAACTTCATCGTTGAGTTTGCTATCTGGCATAGACGGGTTGGTGGCGACGAGTGCAACGGTCGCCGACGGGTGTAAGCACTGCATATAAACAAGATGACTGGGGATGACTTATCTTTTAGCGGTACAAAAATGTTCGATATACTTCGAGATCGTCCGCTTGGTCTTTGATGTTCGCGATCTTTCCCGGGTCTGGCAGGCCTAGTAAACCCAGTGAGCCGAATCTGACGCAGGTTATGGAGTGGTATTAATAAAGCAGACTGTCTCTTCACACTGAGCGTACTTCATATTGCCACAGTTAACAAACGCCTCGATTGTTCGCGCATGACAGCGCGCCTCGGTCTTTTTCGGTTCTGCACGGGGCTCGCACCTGGCGCTCTCTCGTGCCCCGCGCAATTTCGAAGAACGGCAAGCAGATCGACCGGACGGGCCCTTCGCCTTTTTCGTTGATCCTGCTTTGTAGTCCGCTCATTAAACCCTACTTAGGTCCTACCACTGCCAACGTCTCCTTCGCCTGCGTGACATCTGGTGGGGGTGCGGGGTACGACGTATGCCCCGGACTCCTCTTAGTATAGCCGAGATAACAGTCCTCGCCGACCAAGCCCCATTTACGTCACCACCGTGCACTGCAAAAGCTGTCGCCTCCAAGGTCTGTCCACGGAGTGCGGATTTCTTTCTGTGAAGAGGACAAGAAAAACAACAATGGCCAACAACCGGTAAGAACGTGCACTACCATCGCCGGTCATGTTCCAACGACCACGGGACCCCCCTTCTTTTCACGGGTTTGCGCAAGAAGATGCCGACGACTGGCTGGAACAGTTCAAGCGGGTGGCTGCCTTTAAAAGGTGGAGTGCTGAAAAAAAACTCAACCATGTGTTTTTCGCGCTAGAAGACTCGGCAAGGATCGTCGTTTGAGAACCAGGAACGCCTGCTGACAACGTGGGACTCGTTCACGGCTTGCTTTCTGCAAGCATTTTCCACGGTCCTACGAAAAGAGCGAGCCAAGCTGCTGCTCCAAACACGTCTTCAGCACCCCAACGGGACAGTGGTGGTCTTTGTTGTAGAAATGAAGCGATTGTTCCGGCGCGCCGATCCCGACATGGCCGAAGACAAAAAGCTCCAAATCCTTATGAGGGGAGTGAAAGAAAGAACAGCTCTTCGCCGGACTAGTACGCAACCCTCCAAAGACTATTGCGGAGTTTTTCGCCGAGGCCTCAACCATTGAACGGACCCTTGACATGCGAACGAGGCAGTACGATCGACGGCTGACAGCGATTTCCGCCACCTACGCCGAACCCCGTGGAGTTGACGCCCAGACGTTGCGGGAAACCGTTCGAATCGTCGTGCGCAAAGAGCTGCGGAAGTTATTTCGAATGACGCAGCAACCTCAAGTCTCATCATTGTCCGAGGTAACACGAGAAGAACTTTTTCGGTTCTGCACGGGGCTCGCACCTGGCGCTCTCTCGTGCCCCGCGCAACTTCGAAGAACTGCAAGCAGATCGACCTGACCGGCCGTTCGCCTTTTTCGTTGATCCCGCTTTGCAGTCCGCTCATTAAACCCTTCTTGAGTCCTACCACTGCCAACGTCTCCTTCGCCTACGTGACAATATCAGTTTTATGCGAAACGCTCGATATTTTCGGTGCAGATGACAAGGTT